CATTTGAACTGTCTTCATCCGCTTGTATTTTTGTCCTTATTGACCCTATAAGCTGGGCTGCTTTAGCGTTGGCTTGGGCATCTAACCAGTCATTGTTAGCTTTTATATATTCTGAGCTTTTCATTGCCTTTTGCATGGCTGCGTCGTTATTTTTACTTTCTTGTGCTAAGTTTTCATACTGTACGGTTTGGTTTTTGCAACTGTAAAAGTTTTTCTGCCTTTACATTTGCTTCAACTTCTTTTTTATACTCATCGCTATCCATATATGTCTTCAGGGCTTTTTGTTTTATCTCTTCATCTTTCAGTACTTTATATCGAGTAGTATGGTTTTTCAAATTTATGACATCTTGTTCCATTTTTGCTACTTCTGCTGCTTTTTCTGACACTTTTTTCGCATATTCCTCTGTACTTAGTTCTTTCAGTTGTTCTTCTTTCTTCTTTTTCTCTACGTTTAACTCATTGAGTTTCTTTGTGTGTCTGTCATATTCTAGTTTCTTTTCGTTTTCACTTATTTGCTTCTGTATGTCTATGTTTGACTTTTTGACATCTGTTATTTGATTTTTGAGTGAACTCAAATTCATTTGACTTTGAGGGTTATAGGCTGTTCCGTCTGCAGCTCCACCATAGCCTGCCATTTTCGCTAAAAGTGCCGCTCTTAAACCTCCACTCTGTGCACCAACAACTCGGTTTAAAAGCATAGGATTGCTTGACATTTGTTGCAACATAGTGGGGTCATTCAGCATTTGTTGTTGCAATTGTTGTTGTGGTGTTAGTCTTACTATTGGATGTTTCAATGCTCTCTTCCTCTTACGTATATTCTTACGTATCTTACGTGGCATTTTAAGTGAAGTTAAAAAGCGGTTTTTGACAGATGTTTTATTGAGACTTCTTCGTAAAGACTTTGTTGAGACTTCTTCGTAAATGAGTGTAAATGACCCAAAAATATATTTTAGGGTAGAAGGGTATATCTACCCGTTTTCTACCCTCTTTTCTACCCTCTTGAATTTTCATGAATTTCTTCGTAAAGACTTTGTCAAGACTTCTTCGTAAAGACTTTGTTAAGACTTCTTCGTAAAGACTTTGTTGAGACTTCTTCGTAAAGACTTTGTAAAGAAAGTTCATGAAAATTCAAGAGGGTAGAAAAGAGGGTAGAAAAGAGGGTAGATATACCCTTCTACCCTAAAATATATTTTTGGGTCATTTACGCTCATTGTCTATGTTTTGTTGAGACTTCTTCATCTAATTTCTCATGAACTTTCTTGTCTATGTTTTGTAAAGACTTTGTCAAGACTTCTTCGTAAAGACTTTCTTGTCTATGTTTTGTAAAGTTCTTCGTAAAGACTTTGTAAAGACTTTGTAAAGACTTTGTCAAGACTTCTTCGTAAATGTTTTGTCAAGACTTCTTCGTAAAGACTTTGTTGAGACTTCTTCGTAAAGACTTTGTAAAGAAAGTTCATGAAAATTCAAGAGGGTAGAAAAGAGGGTAGAAAAGAGGGTAGATATACCCTTCTACCCTAAAATATATTTTTGGGTCATTTACGCTCATTGTCTATGTTTTGTTGAGACTTCTTCATCTAATTTCTCATGAACTTTCTTGTCTATGTTTTGTAAAGACTTTGTAAAGTTCTTCATCGTAAAGACTTTGTAAAGACTTTCTTGTCTATGTTTTGTAAAGACTTCTTCGTAAAGACTTTGTAAAGACTTTGTAAAGACTTCTTTGTAAATGTTTTGTCAAGACTTCTTCGTAAAGACTTTGTTGAGACTTCTTCGTAAAGACTTTGTTGAGACTTCTTCGTAAAGACTTTGTTGAGACTTCATTTATACTCATTCATCCTCAGGGCTAGAAGGCACGAAGTGCCTGGAAGCCCCACTACTTTTTTTTTTTTTTTTTTTTTTTTTTTTTTTTTTTTTTTATATTCGACATTCTGAATATTAAAGAGCAGTTTCTACATTTTCAACTTTTCATTGATATTTGCATCATCTAAGATAAGAAGCTCGGCTGTTTCTTTGTTATTATTAGCTGCTGCATAATGTAGAGCGGTTTTCTTTATAATTTTTAATTTCTGCAATATATATATATATGTTAAATTTAGTCATTGATAATTACTGCCAAATAAGAATTTTTTTAAGGGTGCACTTACCATTTTCTGACATATCTCTATTTTAATAGCAGAAAAGTATAGCAGCTATACTAGGTACTATATAGTGATTTATATTTACTTCCTTCCGATCAAAAGTATTAACTTTTGACATTAGAACATTGGGAAAAAAAGCTTGTGTGTCAAAATAAATTGAGAGAATGTCAGAAAGTGGTAAGTGCACCCTTAAATAAATTCTCAATAACAAAAACTGAACAAAAATGCGTTAAAATATATGATATTTACAGCAATATTATTAGTGAATATGAAAAAGCATGAAATTCCGAATAAAAAATCCTTCGGGCTTTGCATTTTGAACAATCAGATAAAGGTATGAAATGAAGAATAGATCTCGATTTACTCGAATGAAGAGTGATATTGAATGAAGAGAGATCTTTATTCAAAATAAGGACACTTTGCAGTGCAGACATTTGATAAAGCTGAAACCCTATTCTCTGCACGCTGGAAGGAATAATAATAAAGGTAATTTTGGAACTGGTTGCAAAAGCTCCATCAAATAATTTCTCAACGAATTTTGGCACAATAACTTCTATTTCTCCATGATTTCCTGGCCAATAAACAAGTGTTTTCTTATCTCTTGAATACAAAACTCCATTGATATCACAGTAATAAGGATTTTCTGGATCAACAAAAATATTTTTTATTTCAACTCCATCATCGAATGGATTATTAATAAGATCTTTTGCATTTTTGGGAATTGTGAATGTATCTATCCTAGTTTGATAAAATAAACCGTCGTCTATATAAGTCAGATTTTCGTCAAAAGTTAATTTAGATAATTGATGATAATTTCTAAAACAACCATTGGAAGTAGAAGAAAATCCCTTAATAGATAATTCTACTGCATCAGTATACTGATTTAAAATAGGAAGAGTTCCTGATCCGCTTACAATGTAAAATCTTTCTCTACTTCCTCTCTGAAAAGTAGGGTTCGACATGATTGTATGGTATTTATCTTAATTACTATCATTCCAGTGATCCTTCATGATCATTGGGCAGAGAAAATCGGGTAATTTTATTGAAAAATCTATCAAATTTGAAAGCAATCTCAATTTTAAGATGCCATTTGAAAAATACTCACTCATTGCTCAATTCGCCTTCTTCGAGATTCTCTGTTTCACAATGAACCTATTCAGCATCAATTATGAAATGAGCATAATTCCTATAAACATAAGCATTTTTTTTGACAAGTTTTGTTCTACATTAATGTTGGGATCAAACCAGATCTGTCAAATTGTAGGATGAATAAGTTCATTACGCTACAGATCCTTTTAAAATTAAATTGAATATTTGTGAGATAATGAAATAATAAAGAAAAAGAGTTATCTCATATATATTCTTTGTCTAAAGATAAAAATCAATTCTTTACCTGTTTTGATTTCGATGGCACAGTTGAAGTGTTTCCAAAACATAGAAATAATAATGAAATAAACTTTTGAATACGTTATCACATCAAATATAACTGTTTAGTTGCTGGTGGTTCTTTCAATAAGTAATCTCTTTATCCTGCGATGCCAAACATCAATTCCAATGTCAAACAGTTTTATAAGTTGAAAGTGATGACATCGAAGATCAACCAGAGAACTTCATGCATGATATAACAGAATTTGAGAAACTCGTTGGAAAGGAAGTTCCTCTTTAAGAAGAGCATGAAATTGAATGAAATGAACACAATATTTAGTATGACTTTATGCGATTATATATATTATATAATCAAATTGTAGAAAAAATCACTTTAAATTCCAGTCAAACTCTATATATATGCATGTATCCATATGAGGAAACTACATGTGCCATTAATTTTCTGATCCAACAACTCATTGTGCCTGTGAGCAGATAATAGAGATTTTAAGATTCTTGATAAGGGGATAATAAAAATTTTTCTAAGATATGCTAATGTATGTGGTGTTTATTGTAATATAGTTAGACATGAAAATATATGAAAATCTGAATAAAAAATTCTTCGGTCTTTGAAATTTGAATCAGATAAAGGCATAAAGTGAAAAATAGATATAGACTTACTCGGATGGAGAGTGATATTGAATGACGACAGATTCTTATTCAGAACAAGGACACTTTGAACTGCTGGCATTCGATAAAGCTGATATCCTATTCGCAGCACACTAGAAGGAATAACAATAAAGGTAATTATTGAACTTGCAGCGAACGCTCCATCAGCAAGTCGCTCAACAAAATTTGGTATGACAACTTCGGTTTCTCCATGATTTCCTGGCCAATAAACAAGTGTTTTCTTATCTCTTGAATACAAAACTCCATTGATATCACAGTAATAAGGATTTTCTGGATCAACAAAAATATTTTTTATTTCAACTCCATCATCGAATGGATTACTAATAAGATCTTTTGCATTTTTGGGGAGTGTGAATGTATCTATCTTGGTTTGATATAATAAACCATCAGCTATATAAGTTAGATTTCCATCAAAAGTTATTTTAGATAATTGATGGTATTTGCTAAAACAAGAGTTAGAAGTGGAAGAAAATCCCTCACCAAATAATTCTACGGCATCAGTATACTGATTTAAAACAGGAAGAGTTCCCGATCCGCTTACAATGTAAGATCTTTCTCGACTTCCTGGCTGGAAAGTTGGGTTCGACATGATTATATCGTACTTTTTTTATCACTATTTTTACAGTGATCATTGATGGACATACAACCAAGAGCAGAGAAAAAAATTATAAAAAAGCTCTTTTTTTTCAAAAAAAAATTGCTATTGTATCATCATAGATCATCAGAGACACCTGATTTCATTTCAAATGTGATGATAATGGCTCTTTCAGAACTAAAAAAAATTCTAAGATATGCTCCTGTATGTAGTGTTTATTGTAATATAATAAGACATGAAAATATATGAAATTCTGAATAAAAGATTCTTCGGTCTTTGCATTTTGAACAATCAGATAAAGGCATGAAGTGAAGGATAGATCTCGATTTACTTGAATCAAGCGTGATATTGAACGAAGGGAGATTTTTATTCAAAATTAGGATACTTTGAACAGCTGGCATTTGAAAAAGCTGAAATCCTATTCTCTGCACGCTAGAAGGAATAACAATAAAAGTAATTATTGAGCTAGCAGCGAACGCTCCATCTTCCAGTTTCTCAACAAAATTTGGTACGACAACTTCGGTTTCTCCATGATTTCCTGGCCAATAAACAAGAGTTTTCCTATCTTTTGAATATAAAACACCATTAATATCACAAAAATATCGATTTTCTGGATGAACAAAAATATTTACCATTTCAGGTCCAACATCGAATGGATTATCAATCAAACTTTTAACATTTCTTGGTATTGTAAATGTTTTAACATTTGTTCCCAAAATTAACGAATCGTTAATAGTAATTAAGTTTTCATCGAAAACTAAATTTGTTAATTGGCTGTACTTATTTAAGCAAAATGGTTCAGTAGCAGAAAAACCTCTAATAAATAATTCCACTGCATTAGTGTACTGATTCAAAACAGGAAGTACTCCAGATCCGGTTACAATGTACGATCTTGCACTACTTCCTTGCTGAAATGTTGGCCTAGACATGATCTCAGAGTATGAATTTTAAAGGTTATTCATTCATTGACTAATCATGATCATAGGATATATTACGGAAATGAAGAAAATGTGAAAATCAGAAGATTTTTAGATAACCTTAATATTTCTGAAAAACCTTAAAGATTTTCTGCCAAGTATGAACTATCTAGATAATTACATTGCCTTGGAACCATACTAGCTAATTAAAGAGTTTTGCCCATTTTCTTCAAAAGAATTAGATATCAAATTGAAAGAAATTGATATCTAGCCATATTACGTTCAATATTCGAAGTTTATTATTACAAATAATCATTTGGAACTAATTATTGACTATACTCAATGATTTAATAAAAATCATTCAGGAACATTTAATGCAATTACATAATCAATCATTTATAAATTAATAATGAATTTACTGCAATAATATTATTGAATACGAAAAAGCATGAAAATCTGAATAGAAAATGGATCGACCTTTGCATGTTGAACAATCAGATAAAGGCATAAAATGGAGAATAGAACTATTTACACTCGAATGAAGATTTATATCAAATGAAGGAAGATTCTTATTCAAAATAAGAACGCTTTGAAGGGCAAACATTTGATAAAGCTGATAGCCTATTTTCTGCATGCTAGGAGGAATAACAATAAAGGTAATTTTGGAACTGGTTGCAAAAGCTCCATCATACAATTTCTCAACGAAATTTGGGACAACAACTTCTGTTTCTCCATGATTTCCTGGCCAATAAACAAGAGTTTTCTTATCTTTTGAATATAAAACACCATCAATGTCACAGTAATAAGGATTTTCTGGATGAACAAAAATATTTTTCATTTCAACCCCATCATCGAAAGGGTTGCCAATAAGATCTTTTGCATTTTTGGGGAGTGTGAATGTATCTATCTTAGTCTTCCATACTAAACCATCACCTATATAAGTCAGATTTTCATCAAAAGTTAATTTAGATAATTGATTGTAATATATAAAACAGCCTGCAGAAGTAGAATAAAAACCCTTAATAGATAATTCTACTGCATCAGTATACTGATTTAAACGAGGAAGAGTTCCTGATCCGCTAACAATGTAAGATCCTTCACTGCTTCCTGGCTGGAAAGTAAAGTTCGACAGGATTGTGTGCTATTTATTTTAATTACTATTTTTACAGTGATACTTCAAGATCTTTGGGCATAGAAAATCCATGAGCTTTTATCAATTTTGAAAGCAATCTCAAAATTAAAATTTAAGGTTTATAAATTTATTCGAGATTGTCTGTAGCATAATGAACTTTTATTCGGCCTCAATTATGTAATGAGCATAATTCCAATCAACACAAACATTTTTTTTTTCGAAAAGATTTGTTCAGTGTTAGGGATCATATCAGATCCTTTCACAATGTAATATTTTTCTCTATTTCCGTACAGAAATTATTTTGCCTATTCATGATCAGTCGTTCTTTCATGGTTGATTTGAGATTACATAATGTTTTCGATTCCAATCTTTCATCTTGCATATACAACCTATTATAGATGCGCCCTCAAATATACCATATTATTTCAAATTTTCTTAATTATATTTTAACTTCATTTTCTTCATCATTTTTTCATTAAGGAATCTGAAGTAATACAGCTAAATTAGTAAACAACTAATGCAATTACATAATCAAACATTTATAAATCCAACAAAAAACAAAAACAATTAATAATTAATTTATTTTTCTATTGGAACACCAATAACATTCATTAGAGCATCAACAGTATTTGACTTAGGCCTGAGTCCTGTTTTATGCTGTATCAAATCACAGAATCTTTCAGTCACAGAGACGTTATCTTCGCTTTGCAAACGAATTGCTTTGTTAAAGTAGTCAATCATCTGAATAGGAGTCTTAAAAACAGAGTAGATCGCAGCAGATAGTTGAGGACCACAACCAGGAAACAGCTTCAGTGTCTTCTGCCAGACTTCGCCAACAGTTGGAGCAAATTTATTTGTTTCACATAGAGCAGTGACATCTTTGAGGCTGCCCATAATAGTGCCACGCTTATCCATTATAGAACATAGCTTATCCAAGTAATTTGCGACTTGCGCAGGCGTATCAATGTAAATTAACGAAATTCCGAAATCAGACATCGCTTGAAGCTTTTTACTTACACATGTTACGTTTTCTTTGCTTGTAACAATTACTATTTTGTGCTTAAAAGGAGTTCCTGACGTATGTTTGAGGATTTGATTATTTGTTGATTGTAATTTTCCTCCAGAAAACTGGACAATTGTATCGTAAACCTCGTTATTTCTTAAAAACCATATTGATCCAACAGGAATTGATGACTTCTTCCATTGTCTGTTCGTTCTATTAATTGCATCAATTACATCAAGCGTTGTACGACATTCTATATCGCTTGTACTAACCAGCATGCTACAATTTCTAGGAGCAGCTGCTGAATCTCTGATTTCTTCTTGATTCTGAGGTTTTTGCGAGTTTGTAAAAATTTCTTCTGCGAGATTTTTGCCTTCGTCAGTAAGTTTAAACTGATCTTTGTTAGTAGTTCGAAACCGTTGGACATATCCATTTTTTTCTAGTGTCTTCATTGAACTAAATGGTGTAAACATGGCTTTATTTGGTCTGAATGTTCCTTGTGGAGGAGGAACAAATCCTATTTCTCGTAGTATATCTGATTTCGTTAATGATTTATCGCCTGCTTGATATAAAATTAAAAATATTTTTCTGGCAGAAGATCCTTCTGCAGGAATGTATCTTTTTTGCTTTTTACGAGTTCCAAAATAAAAATCGTGTAGTTTTTCTTCGACATATTGATTTACTCCGATTAAATCTTTTGCGTCATCAAAATTTAGAGGAATAGGACACAAACTTAAACTATTAAGCACTTCTAGTATATGATCTTTGTTATCTCCATCCTCATTTTTTGATAACTTTGTGAGGTACTCGCGCAATTCGCGATTTTCCTCCAAAATTTATTAAAGAGGTAGGGCAACGATAGGTCAAAAAGGCTTCTCTGATAGATTTCCTTGCCTTTTGGATATGCTATAATATATAGCCTAGCATGATAGGATATGATGTCAAAAGTTAGAACATAACTTAGGATCTTGAGAAAAATGAAAAACAAAAATTACATAAAAAAAGAAAAATTTTATCTAATTTGTTTTTTGGACCGAATAAGTAATTTTATTGAATTTCAATACGACACATAGATTTTATTATTAGTAATAAATATAATGGTTTACTATTAACAAGGAACCTAAACTAATGAAAATTTGATTTCAAATATTGTATATGATTATCATAGATTACCAAAATATATTGCTATTTATGAGGATATAATATTGATTATTAGTAAATCGTATAAATTTAATAAATATACCATGAATATTGAATGAATTTCTTGATTCATAGGGGTAAAACGCGCTTTTATATGATTTAGACAGAGAATTTATGAGATGTAAATAACACAATAAAGGTTTATATTGAATATTTTCTAAAAATAAATCGAAATTATAAAAAAATACATTTATTCATTGAAATTACTTGGACAAATATGAAACAAGCATTCAGGCAATACTTTTGAGACTTCAACGCATCTGATAATTTTTATATAACTTCACCTCTTATGCTTAGAGTGGAGGTATTGAGATTGTATAAGTATAGATGAGCTCACATTCAGATATGATGTGTGAACTTCTGTTTTCACTGCAATTTTGAATCAGAATAAACTCAAAACAAGAATAAAATGATATACTCACTCTCTAAATGTGTTCGAGATTTAAAGTTGTATGAATAAAACGATTCATCTTTCGAAGCCTCCCATTTAATGAGAGACTTCGAAAGATGAATGTATTCATGTAGATGAAATACTATATATGACCTTGTGTGATACTAAAGATATCAAAATGTTCATTTTTAAGTGCAATAGAAGGGTTATCTCTCGTAAAATCTCAATTTAAGGAAGATTTAGAAAGAACTCCTTTCCTAAGTAGATAGTGTGTGGTTTCTGTCTTTTGGTTGATCAGGAACTATGAAATTAAGTCGGACAGAAAGAAGTTCTTTCCAAAACAGACTCCAAATGAGTTGTTCGAAAAGAACTTCCTTCTGTATATGGATAATTGTAGTTACCGCACTGAAGTATGTGATTGTGATGATGGAGTTCTCGATAAATCTAAAATCGGATTAAGATTAATTGAAAACTCAAGTAATTCTTTGAAATCTTGTGTTGTCTGGCACTATAATAACCAAAGAATGAGAATATTATGTTGAATGATGAGTACGTGTGCTCGGCATTCGCCGAGCGAATTGAGTTTACGTACTATGAAAAGTGACAAATTTGGGCTTTTTTTCCTAGGGTTATGATCTCTTCCTTTCTGCTCAATACGACAGAAATGAAAGAATGAATTTGTACTCCCTAATTGATTACTACAATCTGTATCTATCTTTAACATAGAATTAGCTGCATTGTGATTTATACTCCAGAATTATTCAATTTAAGATCAACCTCGTAAATTTTAATCATATTGCACCAATACTCCTACGTTGAGATAAGAAATGATTATACATACCAAAGCCCCATATTAAAAATCAAAATTTAGCACCTCCATTATGCAACCACATTATTCGTCGCAAATAAGTATATTTACGCATATTATGATGCATATTCACACAACTCGTATACATGAAAAGTTATTAAAATCAGACAAAATTATTGCAATAAGGGAAAAAAAACAACTTTATTATATATGTTAGTAATGAATTACAAATATTTCTACAAAGAATGCTCAATACTTCATATAATCTTCGAATATTTCTTATTACAAGTTAATACATTTTGACTCGAACATGATAAACAAAAGCTGACACGCTGATTACTACATTTATGAAAATATAGTACGTTTCCATTCATCTGTTTACTTGTTTTTGTTGGAATAAAATCATTTTTTTTTCTTTCATGAAATAAGAATTTTGCTGCGAAAGCAATATCTCTAACAATAATTAATACATTACGTCAACTCTGGAATGAGTATTTATCAAATATGATATCAAAATCAAAAATTAGTTGTTTTTTATGAGTAAAAACGATGTAAATTGATTATTTGACTAATTATCAAATACTTTGATTTTCCAAATTTTTTTCGAAATTGATTTTTTCATGTGAAAATTCAAATTGTTTAATTTCATTTTTGAAATTTTGAATTTTTTTTGGAATTTTGAGTTGATCAATTCAGCAGAATTGATAATGCTATTGCTTTAGGACATACCACAAGGTGATGAATAAAAGGTGAACATTAACAAATTATTTTAAATCACAAATATCATCCTCATCAACTTTAATTCTAAAAAGAACTGTACTGAATTATGAAAATGCATGATTTACATTATTAAAATCTTTGAATGAAAATAGTACAAGATAAGTTTTCATTCATTTTTAATTAGATTTAAACGAAAAACTACTCCATATTAAAATTTAAGTCGAGAAATCGTATTTTGTTCTTATTTGTTAGCATTTTGTAGACATTCTAATCTTGAATTAATTTGTTACATGATATTATTAACAAATTTAACTGAAAAAATATGTTAATATGGAATAAACCATGATTATATAAGCTATCAATGCTATATATACATATGTAAAAGATTCATATTAACTCAATTAACAAAAATGATAGATTTTCATAAAGGTTCAATCTAGGTTCGTCCGAAAATTTTGATTTTTATATAGAAGACATAGTTTCATATACATAATTAAATTTTCAAACAAATTTGATCATACCATTTATTAAGCAGGATAGTATATTAATTACTATCAGTATAAAAATATAAAAATGATTATATTTAATTATTGCATAATTTAGTCAAAGAGTTATAAGCCTCAAGTGATCGTTATCACCTTCAATGCACGTATACTTTATTGATTCATAGATATTTAATCTATGTTTGACATGTTGTTGTCGTCATTCGTTTTGTTCCCATTCTTCCTAAGTTAGAATTAGAGAATACACCATCCACATCATCTAATTTGGTCCTCAGCGATAGATTGGTTCATTTTGGAGGAGTCCCATCAGACAGTTTTCGAGCACCAAATATCAAATTTTAATGTATACAAATCTTTAGTGATTTATCTCTTTTATGATGAGTAAAAGGTTTCTGCTCATCAACATTTGATTTCCGACATATATGATTTCTAATTGCAATTATTTACTTTCTTTTTATAATCTAACTCTGTGACTCATACCATAAATTAATTATTGGAAAGTGTCAATATGTTTGGCACAACGCATGGCGGAAGATACCAAACCATGCAGGGAATATGATACGTTTAAGATCTCCGAACTTTTTTTCCAAAAATTTTCTATCGTTGCCCTACCTCTTTTATTAAATTCAATTTCATTTTTGTTTATTTATTAGATAAACATATTTACGCATACATTGAATCTTCCTAAAAACATTTGACACTTTATTGAATTTATTTTTTTATCCATTCTGAAATGAAGTCGATTGCATTCATTGGAACAGGAAATATGGGCGGCGCAATGGCAAAAGCATGTGCTAAAGTATTAGATCCATCCGAAATCATTATTACAAACAGAACAAGAGCTAAAGCAGAAGAAATTGCTGAAGAAATACACTGCACTGTTGTTAATACAAACGTTGAAGCAGTTAAATCAGCTACATACATTGTTCTCGGTGTTAAACCACAAATGATGGAAGCTGTACTTAAAGAAATTGCCGATACAGTCAAATCAGAACGCAAGAAACGCGAATTAGTTATTCTAACTATTGCAGCTGGAAAGGCAATCAGTTTTTACCAATCAATTCTTGGAGATATTCCAATTATCAGATTAATGCCAAATACACCTTGCTTAGTTTCAGAAGGAATGACACTTCTTGTCAGAAGTCCAAAGGCTACAGACGAACACGTCGAAAAAGTTAAAAACTTCTTCTCTAAATCAGGATTAATCCAAGAAATCCCAGAAAGCCAAATGGATGCTGCAGGATCAGTTGCTGGCTGTGGCACTGGATTTGTCTGCATGTTTATCGAAGCTTTGGCCGATGGAGCTGTCATGGCAGGCATTCCAAGACCAGATGCATACAAATACGCTGCACAAGCACTTAAAGGAACAGCAGAACTTGTTCTCCAGTCAGGAAAGCATCCAGACGCCCTCAAAGACGAGATCTGCTCCCCAGGAGGATCAACAATTGCAGGTGTCAAAGCTCTCGAAGACGGAAAATTCAGAGCAACAGTTATGGAAGCTGTTCTTCAATCAACAAAGCGTAACCAAGAACTTGGAAAGTAAAAAAATAAATTTTAGTATTCATGAATTTAACAAAAAATTGTTACTTTTTTATGCCAAAGTATATTTATATTCGATGTAAACATCAGTGAAAAGTATTCCGATACAATTGGTGTTGTTTTTGAGTTACCAAAAGACAATACGGACAATCAGGAGACTATTTGTGCAGCTCTTGATTGCACATATATTTCTGTTTTAGAAGGCTTTCCGAATTACAACCCAGAAGCTAGATAATCTCTATCGGTTTCTGATAAATATTATATTAAATTGTTATTTAAATTTATTGTAAAAGAGATTTATAAAAATATAATTTACTAAAATACAAATAACAACACAACTAATGCAATGGGTGTTTAACGCGATTCCGCATATTCATTTGCAAACAAAACGAATAATTGACAACTGCATTGCGATTTTTCTGGTTATTTTTGGATAAAGGGCATTGCACCAGTTTCTATTACCTGACAAATAATTTGCTCGATTTCGTCTTTTGATTTGTTTGGGAGGAAATTGCAAAGGGCAAATACAGTATCATCATATGTTTTAATAAGTTCATCTGCAAGTTTTGGATCATCATTAAAATCATCAGCAATTTCTTTTGACATCAATATATATCCCCAAATTTTTTCTTGCTCCCCCTGTTATCGATAAATTCTTTCAACTTTCTTTAGTATCATATCAAGCTATTGAAAATCAAGAACACCAGCGGAAAAATTCCTTAGGGATGTCAATGGAGCCTGGATCGGCGTGTTGTTTACTCTCCGACTTCAAATATTAAAGATACTGATTATCAATCACTAAACGTTACATTTACCACAGAAGAGTCAAGAGGATTATTATCAATAACTGCATCTTCACCTGATAAATCAATTGATAGCCAGTATTTCTCCAAAATAGAAGTTAATAATCAATCAATGCTCGAAATTACAAATAGATTTGGCGAATAACTCGCGTTATTCAAATTAAACTACATTGATGGTGTATTTACAATTCGAGATCGGTAAATTCCATCAAAAGACGCATTATTCGGCTTATTTAAGAATATAGACATGATGTTCACAATAAAAGATCAGTTTACAGACAATATTACAACTATTTTACTCGAAACAACCACCCAAGAAAATATTTTCCATTATTGCTATCATATTTTCTTGTTCATCATGATATTAGTAGCTATTTCAGCAGGACTTTACGAGATGTCTGACTTATCAGATGTTATTAAGCCAGATGAGGCTAAATACACTCAAATGATGAAATTTCAAGCCAAGCGCGAGGCAAAGATCAAAGAAGCTCGCGAATTATTAAAGAAGATGGAAGAGGAAGAAGCCAAGCGTAAAACCCAGGAAGAAGAAGGAAAAATTAAGACTGAATAAATCATTATATTAGATTCACTGTTTCAAAACCACTTTCTTATATTTTACAGCCAATTCATAAATCTGTTTCATCTCATAGAACATATATTTCTTAGTTTTTCCTAATTTCATGAGAATATTTGCACAAATCTATTCATTGAATGGTATCCATATAGATAACTCTTATAATATATAAATAGCTCGTAAAAGACTGGATAATAGACTTTTTTTTTAAATAATTTTTCGATTTTTTTTAGATTCTTGTGCTATTATCGCTTTCGTTTGAATTTGGATTTAAATTGTTGAAGAAAGTTTGAAGTGGGCTCTAATATTTTCTTATATTTGATTGGATTCTTTGCTTCGCAAGCATATGATGAAAATAACGGAAGATTATGAACAGAATATGAATTCTGTACATTTGTAAATACAACATTTCCTGCTCCTACTTGTTTGTCACAAAATGAATTAATAACTATTATTGAGCCAGATCCGGATTGGAAAAATTCTATAACACTTCCTGAGTTATCAAGAAATGAACAGTTTTCAATAATAATAATAGAATCAGGTGCAAAGTATGTTCCATGAGATGGAATATTACGATGATTATTCAATACATTACAATGAGTAAAATTATATTTACATCGATCGGAATAAATGATTGAAAAAGTAGCTGTTATGTTACAAAATGATGAAAAAGCTACAGATTTAATACTTTTGGCTAGAAATAGAACAATTCCTGCACCATATTGTGATTTGCAGAAACTTGTATTGATTGATTTAATATCAATTATCCCTCGAAAAATATCGTTCATGTCATCTTTTTCGATATTTCCGCATTCATAAAAAGAACTTTCATAAACATAATTGATGCTACTTGTTGGATTCATTAAGTCAATATATGAATGATGTCCTCTATCAGAAGTTGTTTGTGATTTGTAAGCACATGTTCTGTATTGAACAATGGAGCTATCACATACAAACTGTATAGCGCCACCAAATGAATTACTACTACTACATTCAGTAAATGAACAATCAGATATAAGAAATTTACAATTATTAACAGTAAAAGTAATAGCACTATTAAAAGTGGTTTTAATAAATACACTTTCGTAAATGAAGCATTCTCCTTGACTTACTTTTGCTTCATTATTCTTTCCTTTGATTGGAGTTGATTTGGGTGGATTTTGATAAAATAATTGCCAAACATTATTTGGATAATAAGATGTATGCATATTTTTCACTCCCGGAGATGATTTTGGAAAAAATTTTCCGAAAAAGTGATCGGATTCCATCAATTTAATAAATGTAATGAATAAATCCAAGTAATTATTTATGATAATTTAATTGAAATCAATAGAAAAAGTGCCATTATGAAATTCAATGTGATTTTTGCTTTTTCTTCATAAAAATATTCACATTATAAATTCATTACTTAAAAAATTTAAAATAATTATTCAAAAATTATCCACCGATTTGCCACAAATGAAGAAACGATGTTCGGAAAAGTGACATAAACTTCTAAGGATATTTTTTACGAGTAGGGGTAATTTTAGCTAAAAGTGACACACCCGTGAAGGGTGTGATTACCGATCGGTAATTTCGACAGTTTAGAATTTAAAATTTTTTATGGAACTGTTGCGAGTTTCATAAAGAATTTAAGGAATATAAGCAAAGATTTGAATCAAAATCTTAGACCTAAGCCGCTCGATTCGCTCGCGGCTTCCGCGAATTACAGATCAGCAAAGATTTGAATCAAAATCTTCGAACTAAGCCGATCGCTTCGCTCGCGGCTTTCTTTATTATTTTAAATTTGCATATTTCCATCAAAAGTTCATAAGGTAAAAAATTTCGTTTATATTATTGCAAAATAAAATCTTCATTATCAAAATAATATTAAATGATAATATAATATAATTTATAAACAACTATTATTTAATAAAGTTTAATTGCCAAGGTTCATCTAATTTTTTGATTTTTAATGTTTTATGAATTTTATTTATCATGTATATATCTAATGAAGATTATATATGTAGAAGATAAGTACCTTAATATGTACGTAAATTTTAATGAAATTTATACAACATTATAAAAATTTATGAATAAAAACTTGATATAAAATAACATTTTTATTTTTACTAAGAAAAAAAGGTTTTTGATAATAAATTTATTTTATTTCGAAAAAGTAGCAATAATCGTAAAAGGGTATTGATAGGCTTGCTAAAGTAACTAATTTTAGCTGTCAAATACTTTTGTATTTTGAAGTAAATTAGTATAAATTTGTTTTTACTTTTATTTCGAAAAAGTAACAATAATCGTAAAAGGGTATTGATAGGCTTGCTAAAGTAACTAATTTTAGCTGTCAAATACTTTTGTATTTTGAAGTAAATTAGTATAAATTTGATATTATTTTAACTCCCTTTGAAAACCTCAATTTTCCATACAGAGGGAACGGGAATAGCATCCAATATTCCCTGAGAATGGTTGCGCATTCTCAGTTCCCTCTATATTTCGAACGAAGCTCTCATCGGTCTTTTTTTTAATATTAAACGTTTTTTTCCCTGTCACTTTTAGCTAAAATTTGGGTTTGCCCTAGCAAAAGAAAGCAATAAATAAGCATTGGTCCAAGACAAAAATAATTGAGGGAAAAAAACGGTTTGAATTTTGATTCTAAAAATTATGTCGGGACACCGCTCCCACCTTAAACAAAAGAACAAACCACATAAATCAGGACATTCGGCGAAGCAGCAATACAAAGTAATTAGCAAGAATCTTCCAGGCGCCAAAGTTGTCGATCCAAAAGGACAAAAAGATCGTAGAATGCAAACAAACGACGCAAAGCGCCAGGCCAAGATTGACCAAGCCGCTCTCATCAAGACAATCGGTACTAAAAACGGACCACCAAAAATTTTTGGTGTTTTGAAATGCAGTGAAAGCGCAGATCCAGAATATTTCATCAACCAGTTACACTTTGAGCCAGAAGTTGAAGGATTTGTATATCCATCTGGTACAATTTCATCTGGAAATTTCTCTCATCGTGTTATTCCTTTAGCCATGAACAATTCATTAGAATCGCTTCTTGATATGGGCTCCGTTGTAGACGTAGTCGTTCTTCTCTTCGAAAGCGGAGAACCACTTAGTAATGATGGTCAAAACGCCATAACCATCCTTAAAGGACTTGGTTTACCAACATGCATGGCAGTAATTTTCTCTTCCAACGGTGCTGAGATCAAGCAAAGCTTAATTCCTGAATATCGTCGCTACATCCAAAAAGATCTTCCAGATCTTGACAGAATCATCCCAGTTTATAACGAAGCCGGCATCGGACAGTTCATCCGCTTCCTCAGTGTCGCTTCTCCACGCAATATCTCATGGAAAGAGAACAGACCAACAATGTTGATTCAAAATTACATTGTTAACGCACCAGCCAAGCAAGTTACTATTCAGGGATATCTTAGAAACGCTCCACTCAGCATTAACCAAATCATTACAATTCCAAATGTCGGAGATTTCCAATTCCACAGCGTCAACGATAAAATACCAGCAACAAACCTTCGCCACGAGATTATTTACGAGAATGATGCCGAAGCCGACGTCATTAATGACGAAATCCGTCCTCCACAGACAATTAATGTTCCAGATCCAGTTGAACCATTACATATGTCCGATGCCCGACCAAACCTCGAAGAAGAAGAGGACATGGGCGAAGAGGACTTCCAAGAAAATTACCAAGAAGACTATCCTCTCGAAAATGAAGAAGATGATAACGTCGATATTACAGTTTGGGAACGTAAAGAGGACGAACTTGAATTCCCCAACGAATTCGAGTACGACAACACCGTAAACCTTCGTCAGAGGCTCATCAAATACCGTTCATTAAAATCATTTGTCAGATCTCCATGGAATCCGAACGAAAACCTTCCACCACAATACTCCAAGATCTTCGAGTTCCCAGCATTCGTTCGTACCTCCGAAACAGCCATTGCCGAACAAGCTGAAGGCGAGATCTTACCAGGGACACAAGTTTCAGCCGTTCTCAATACAGAAGAGGACACAGAGATTTTCCAGCGCATTCCTGTCGGCAGAGTCATGACAATGTACGGTCTTTTCAGGCACGAAACGAGATTCACTGTTCTTAACTGCACAATCAACAACACTACCGAGATTCCTCTTGAATCAAAGAAGGACGAGTTGTTGATGGTTTGTGGATTCAGACATCTTTGGATCCGTCCAATTTACAGTGAAGACACAAGATGCGACAAGCACAGATACATGAAGTACATCAAGAAAGGAGATGCAGCAATTGCAACATTCATTGCTCCAGCAGTTATGCAGACAGCTCCTATTTTGTACTTCAGAAACACTCCAGAAGGAATCGAGTACACAGGAAATGGATCAATTAAAACAGTTGATCCAAGTAGAATGGTAATAAGAGAGAGAATTCTCACAGGAAATCCATACAGAGCGAATGGAAAGACTGCAAGAGTTTCAATGATGTTCTTCAACAAAGAAGATGTCGAATGGTTCAGAACTGTTCCTCTTAGAACAAAGAATAAACAGAATGGTCACATCACTGCAACAGTCGGAACTAAAGGAAAGTTCAAAGCAATCTTTAATGAAATTGTTGACCAGGCTGATACAGTGTATATGTCTTTGTATAAGAGAGTCTTCCCACCGCTTTGCGACGGAAGTGATGGAAAGCCTCCGGCTCCTTGCCCTGCTAGATTCTAATTTATATATTTGGTATTTGATTTTTTATATATAGATAAAGTTTTTTTCTTTTATAATAGATTTTTTTCATATTCGGAATATTGCCTGTCTTAAAGTGGGCGCATTTACTACCTTCTGACATGTTCTTATTAGGTACTATTATAGTGATTTACAAGAGCTTTTTCCCCGACTGAAAATTTTTACTTTTTTCATTAGAAAATTGCGATAGAAAGATTATGTAAGAAAGTGGTAATACCCATATGTAGCTGAATCACACAATACTGATTTATCAATACCGAATGTTTTGTATCCAATTACAAGGCTAGAATTTTAATTAGAAAGTCTCATCACACTTTTCAATGCTCGATTTTTAAAAACTGTTTAAAAATGGAGCTTATATTGAAATAGTGTAGAGACTAAAAATTACCACAGACTATTTCAGAGGATTGAGTTGCCACTCAATCCTCTGAAATAGTCTGTGGTAATTTGCAAAATACATATTGCACCCAAGGTTTTTATCGTCGCTCACAAAATGTGGTTACAATCATCAAAGAAAAATTTTTATTTAATTTATTTGAATATATGAAATTCGAGTATTTTCAAATTTTTTATCAGATTTTTTCTGAGAATTCAATTTCTGATTTCTGAGCGAATCTGAAATGGAAAAGAAGGAAGATTCAACAACATCATCTATAGATTCACTTAGTCAAACAGATGAACAGAAGCGTTTTGAATCTAATAATATTGTTTTATCTTTGCTGAAGCTTAGCGTTGGTCCGCTAATGTTTAATTGCGGCATATCTTTTCATGATGCAGTCGATATGATGCTAATATCTAAATCAATTGGTGGAAATTCCATCCAAATTGTTGGATTTTCATCATTAATACGCTATTTGTGCGTATGCGTCACAATTTTCTTTGCACAGTCAACAATTGCCAAAATTGCAGCACTCATTGGTGCAAAAAAGACAGGAGATGCATGCCAAGTTATTACAGACCTTTTTCGAATTTCATTTATAACTATGATCTTAGTTTCAACGATGTTTTACTTTGTATCTATCCCGATGCTTATATTTATGGGATGTACACATGATATAGCCGTTGAGGCAAGGCGATATCTAGCACCAATACTAATCGGAATACCATTCATGGCATTATTCCAACTTAGTTGTGGATTTATACAGAGTCAAGGACGATCAATACTATGCGGATTATTACAGTTGGCAGCTTTCGCTTTAAACTGCGGAATCATTTCTCCAATTCTTCTATTTGCGGTTAAAGTACCAATCAAATATGCAGGAATTTCTTTTGTCCTATCACAAAGCATCCCAGGTATTATTTTAACAATTTTGATCTTCAAAGGAAAATTTAATATTCAACCAGAAATTTCTATGTTTCTACGTCGAATATCCAAAGGCACACTTAATGCATTATTATTAGGTACTCCATATATCTTAAATATCCTTGCAGGTGCAATTCCTCCGATGATTTTGCTCCGCTACATGATGCTTGCAGCTTCCAACTCAGGGGAAGCTCCACTCATTGCGTCTGCATTTTCTGTCTTCTTAAAACTGCAAAGCGCCATAAATTCAGTTTCAATTGGAATTAATCAAGGATTAATGGCAACTGGAAGTTACGCAAGAGGAACAGGAAACTATGTGAGGCTCCTCCAACTGTTTATTCGTGCAGTTTTGATAACTGCTACTTATCATTTATGTTGGATACCTTTAATGGAAACTCGCGCGGATTTAATTGCTAAAATATGGATGTCTGATAAGGAACAACTTAGTTTCACAAGATATTTCTTACGGATTCCATTTTATACTAATTGGCTAGTTCCATTAAATGATTCAACCGTAAATTTTGTCCTTGCGTCAGGAAAACCAGTTCTTGCGATGATTCCTTCTTTTGTTCGCGGTATTGTATGTCTGATTGCAACATTTTCGTTCTATTACACAGGAAAGAATCAACCAAAAAGAATGATGTACACTTACAACACTTATGATGTTACAGTTCTTTTGTTTGATATAGGTTTAGTTATCTATGACATCAAATACTTGATGAAACTAATAAAAAAGGATGATTCTGATGTGGTTCATATGAATCTCGTGTAAATAGATAATTCGACACGAGAAGGTCATAGAATTTGCATTATTTTATTTTGTATGGTAAAAGTTGTTTATTTAGTTATATTTCATTTATTTAAGGAATCTTGAAGTTCAAAAACAACATTTATGGATAGATGAAAATAAATCATGAACAAAGGGTAAAATGGTCCTTCATTTCATATTTAAAACTATGTGAAAGAAGTAGACAGATTTTTATTTGTTATTTTTTTCTGTCGCATAATGATGAACAATAGTATTATCTTCATCTTTTTTCGTTGATATTTGCACCATATAAAAGGAGACATTCGGCTGCTTCAATGTAATTTTTATCTGCTGCATAACGAAAAGCCGTTTCTCCATTTCTTCTCCTTTTAATTGATATTTAAACCATATTGAAGAAAAACGGATATTATCTGATGCATAATGAAGGGAAGTTTTTCCAGTTGTACCCTTTTCATTATATTCACACCATGCGAAAGGAAATATTCACACACATCAGTGAATAAGAAAAACATATGTTAAAATTATCTATTTGATCGAAATAAACTAAAAATGAATCAAGATTTTTATATTCACTTCAACAACATTTTTAAAAATATTTAATGAAACATCTAAAAATATATAGTTTTATCCGCCCATTCCAGCTTGAATCATAAGTTTCTGGATATCAGATTCAGAAATTTCGACATCCAAAAACTTTTCTTCTATTTGAGTTATAATTATTTTAGCACTACGCAACTTCCTCATGTCATCTCCACCAATTGCTAAAATAAGTGCATCAACATCTATTGAAAATTGATTCACAACTTCTTTCTTCTTGAAGTCAGTATTCTTTACAGTATATTTATAAAGAATATCATCAATTTTCTTTTGTATTGTTGATATAAAAGATAATTCGTACAGATGTTTGTGGAGTTTAGCTTTAATACTTTGTAGCATTGGACTTATTGTATCTATAGCTTTAGAAATTTCCTGTGAAACAACGCCATTCATTGGATTAATTGTCTTTCTAGTGATATATGTTGAAGCTTCTTGTTCAAAATAAGCTTCAATAACTGTTCCTAGATTTTGTGCATATTCATGGCATTTTCTACCTATTTCTTCACTGTCTTTCAGCAAATCTTGACAAGTTTGATCAGAAATATCATAATATTCTCTGATTTGTATGGACATCATATATAATGCATTGATGTATGAACAGTTCTGGACCAGATTATCATAGTTCCTGAGTCTTTGGTCCAATTGAGATAAAATATGTCTCGAACAAAGGACTAAAGAGCCTCTAAAGTGTCTCATCTTCTGAGTTTCGCTGAATGTATCAGGAGATACCTTAAATATTCCATCCAGTATCGTTGCAAGTCTCAATTCAAAATCTTCTGCTGAATTATATTGCAAAAGTTCCTCAAATCCATACTTAAACGCTTCATATTCAAGTTTATCCCATTCAGCACCGAACGAATCATATAAAAGAGGGCAAAGTTTAGGAAGATCTAAAATTTCAACTTCATTTGCCCATTGATCATAAGCAAAACCTTCAGTAAACAAAGTTCTGAAGCTATGGATGTTATTATGCTCAATACTATCATTCAACGCATCACAGACCCCATCATAAATTGATGTTGTAAATGATTTCATGATGTCACTTTTTGTAAAATGTTTTTCAACAGCCAATAACACGTAAGAAGCTGATTGTATTGTATTCCTTAGTAGATTGATGATAAGAGTGATTGTACTACTATTCGTTTTGACTTCCGTTTTTTCTGTATGGAAATGAATTCTCGAAAGATAAATTCTTGATGCGCATTCTGCAATAGCTGCAGGCCAATCTGGGTCGATTTGTACATTTTCGAGCATAGTAAAGAATCGTGTTGCCTTCATTGATGCTGTAGTATTCTTCGTAAAGAAGATTTGTTTCAATGCATTTTGATTTGATACGGAAAAGTTACGTATCATTGATTCAATATCGGAATAAGCGGTGCTTCTGACTTTATTTATGAAATTCTTACTCTCGTTTTGTATAAAATTGGCCATATCTTGCATATCTTGATTATTATTGTTTTCAGATGATGTTGTAGCAAGTTCTGAAATGTTGATGAGCTTTTTGTATAGTTCTAGATTAGTATAATCAGTGAAATCTTTGGTTTTCTTGAAAAATGACTTGAGAATGTTAATTGGATCTTTCATTTCGTTGTGGATTGCTTCAATTTCTAATTTAGTACTTTCTATTTCTGCTTTGATATCATCTTCGGCTATTTCATTTGTCTTAGCTGAATTTTCTATGTCAATATGAATATCATTCAGTTCTTGAGTTAATGTATTGATAGAATTTTGATTGTTTTGGCATAGTTGATCGAATTCATGCTTTTTATCAAGGATGTTATCTGATCCTAAAGTCTTAAAAATATCATCTAGAATTGAATCATCAACAGTCATATGAAAAAATGGGAAAACAATCTGTTTACTATATATATTGATATCAAAGGAAGATAATAAATACAACAAACTAGAAAATATTAAAAATATATCACAAATTATTAGGCATAATTTGGCTTATAGTAATAATTTCACCATTAAATAGGCAATGATTTAACTAATTGTTGATATGACAAATCATAAATGCTAAAGAATTTCAAGATCGTTCGCACAATCAAAGTGTGTTCGATACTTTTTTCATTTATTTTAGCAATAACATGTTTAATTATCAAAATCAATAGTAAAAGAGCGAGCCAATCCACTAAAATCGAGAAAAATTTACCTGCTCCATGTAATTTCGAACCAATAAATGAACCATGCAGTACAAAACGCGATGTTGTCTTTTTCTATGGAACAAATACACATAAAGGACTCCTTTTAGCAGTTAAATCTCTGCGAACAACAAGAGCGAAATGCAGAATTGTTGTTTTAGTTCCTTCAACGTTTAAAGCAGATGACGAATTTGCAAACTTTGCTCAAGAATATGACATCGAAATCTACTCTGGCTGCGATATGAAACGAAAAGGAGATACAATTGCTCACATGCTGAGATATGAATACGAAGCTAAGTGGATTGAAGAACATATTAATGAAATAGATCGAGTTATACATTCAGATGGCTATGATGTTTTCTTCCAATCAGATCCTTTTGTTGTTTTACAAGATAGCCAGAATTTGATATTCATTGTCGAATCTCTGAAGATACTTCAATGTGAATGGAACGCAAATTGGGTGATAGATTGCTATAATCAATCAATTTTTAACTTAATTAAAGATAATCAAATTATTTGCAGCGGTGTAATATTAGGACCGGCAATACAATACTTACGATTCGTTAAATTAATGATTGACCTCCCAGAATGGTCTTTCTGTTGGGCAGATAGCTATGATCAACCAATTGTTAATTATTTAGTTCATGGAGGTGTTTTAAAGGATAAAGGAATCAGTTATGCACTTATATCATGTGATTCAAACGTTTTGAACATGCAATGGTGCCTTTATGGAAAATCTGTTCCATATTCCAAATCCGGATTCGTAATGACACCTAATAATAGAATAGAGCCTGCCATATTACATCAATACAATCGTTTTCCAGATACAATGAAAGATTTAGGCCGACAATGCGGAATTCAATTTTCTTAAGACTATTATACATATATTTGTTTGTTAAATAAATAAATATTTATCATGCTATGAACAATGATGCTAATTTAATACAATTGAGAAATTTTATATTTTAAAAATCATTTTAACATAATGTGGAACTAGATTGTATGCATACATCATGATTTTCAATGACAAAAGGAAATAATCAAACAGCCATATATGAATATCGAAATAAATTTGAAAACAATTAAGCACTATGAGACAATTCTTTAAAAGGATGATTCTTTGAATTTGTTGTAATACATATCAATCGTGCATTATCTATAATTCTATAACTCTCTCCACTCAAAGAATAAAAAACGTACAAAAATGACGAATCCTGTCGAACCAGCAATACATTCGACAGATCAGGTCATTCTTTCTCGTATAACAAGAATGGCTGGCATACCAGAAGAACTCAGGAAAAAGATTGTTATGTTTAAACAAAGTTTTATTAACTCATCAAATTCAATTGTAAGACAAAGACAAAATCTTGCCGCAAGTATTGCAAAATATAAAGAAAAAAGTCGGAGCTGTACCATTCATAAGACTCAAATTCAGCATCTTCAAGTAGATCTTGAAAGAGTTTTGCAAGAAATCGAAGATCTCAAATTTAACTCTGCAGACGTACTTCACTTACGAGATCAAATCGAAGAACAACAAAAAATTGTCGATCAAATGAATCATCTTCTCGAAGAAACAATATCACAAAAAGAGAAAGCAGAAACAAACAGAAAAATGAAAATACAAGAAATTGAGCAGATTAAGCAACAAAAAATCATTGTAAACGGTACACTTAATGCTCAATGGGATAAACACTCCGAATTAACTAAAAAACTTGGTGATAATGAAACGCAAGCTCAGCAATTACGTAACTCAAATGAAGAGCGTCAACGCGCAATTTCTACAATGGAAGCAAATGCAGAAGAATGGCGTAGAAATATGAACAAAAAAGAGACTCAAATTGACGAAGAAATTTCTAAATTGCAGAAAGAAATATCTTCAGTTGAAACACAAATCAACGATGTATCAAGTGAAAAGAATGAAGCCATATCAAGCTATCAGCATCAAATCGCAACATTAAATGCAGAAATCGATGCTCACAACGAGAAAATCAAAGAACAAGTCAAAGAAATTGGTTCAATGAAAGCAAATATTGAACACATTGTTGAACAAAGCCAAAGACTCAAAGAAGAATCACAACAAGCAGGCGAAGAACTTGCAGAAAGGAAGAAGGAACTTGCTACTTTAATGGGCGAACTTGCAACAAGAATGAGTCTTCCAGAAACGCAAACAAAAGAAATTGCAAATCTTGAACTTGACAATAGACAACTTAAAACGAGAGTTGATGAACTGAAAACAATGTGGCAGACATCAACAGATGAAGTCGAAGAACTCGCGGATAAAATTAGCCGTGCAAAGATTGCAAAATATGATCCAGCAGCACAAGAAGCAGCAATCAGAGAAAGAATTCTTAGAGATTCGGCAATAAGAGTTCAAGAAATTGTTGATTCTGCAATGAAAATGTTAACTTGCCCTGAATGTGGAAAAATATTAGAAGTTCCTGTTACTTTGGTTCCTTGCGGACATTGCGTGTGCTATTCTCATAAATATCAGCAGAATGCTGTTACTAGATTGTGCCCAAAGTGTGGTGAATGCGTTGTTTGTGCTTATGTTGATAACTCGCTTGCTGTTGTTTTGTCGAAGTTCATTTATATCAAGGATATTTTATCAATGCTAAGTAAGTGATATCTCTGTTCCCTGGTTTTCTTTATGAATAAACTTTTGTTTTTTATTTTTTAATTCGTTATGATTATTTTTCCGATTTTGGAGATGAAAGTCTGTGTCATCTATGTAAAATTAATATGAATTATGTATTATTTCTCATCTTGATGCAGTAGATTACACTATTTCACCAAACAGCTTGAATTTTTGTTTTTACCTCTCTTTTGTTCTTGCTCTACTTTCATTCATTAACCCAATCACATGAAGTTTTTCAAAGTGGGCGAAACAATGATAGAGCTCACATTTCCCTCAAATTTCGAGAAGTTTTGGGCGAAACATGGATTTCAATTTTTAAGCAGAAATAAGTTTACCATATCTGAAGTATGGCATTCCAAACGGGAACCGCGGTTGGTTACCATGGATTTCCGTCACCGGTCACATTTTAAAGATTTTTAAAGCCTTATAAAAATATGCTTTGTAAATCATTTTTTGTAAATCGGCAAAAATTTGGTAATTTTCTTCAACTAATAAATCTGCGAATAGCATTTATAATACAAGAACAATCTTTTAAAATGCGTTTGATTCATTTTTGTATAATTTCATATAGGCACATATATTCTTCCGGGACTTTCCGTGATTTTACCGTAAAATCATTAGTTTACACCAATTTTTCCGTATTTTGAATAGTTTACTGCACTTTTTCCGTAAAATTGAGTTACGGGAATCCGCAAAATTTCCGGACCTCATTTTTCATAGAATATAATAATAATATTTGATAAAAAGATATATTATTTATATTTTTGATTTTTGAATTACGGAAAAAGTGAATTGATAACTTGATTTTTTTATATGGTTAATTTTTCAAATGATATTATGAAGATCTAAAATATTAAAAGTAAAAAATTGAATTACGGAAAAAGTGAGGTCAAAAGTGAAATAAATTTGCAGAACAATTTTCATTGAAATAAGCTTTATTTTTCATTATTAATAACAATGCAAAAAATATTTATCACGGGTTCAAAATTTAAAATTAAATATTTTAATAATTTACATCTTATTCTTTATTTTATATTTAACCCGTGAAAATATCATTTAAAAATTGAATATATTCAAAAAGCTTTATTTTTATTATGACTGCATGGGATCCTCATGTATATGATGAGTGGATTCCATTTAAGAAGACGAAATATCCACCAACTCCTGAAACATTGGAAACAAAGTGTGGAAAAAATGTTTCACTACGATCGGCTATTATGAGAATGAGCCTAATCAATCAGACAAAGGAAGGCTCTTTACATACTGTGCCGAATGTAGTGAAACATTAGTTCAAGGGCAGTTCGTGCGATGCATTAAAAAAAGCAGGAAAAATGATTTTAAAGATCATAAGTGCAAATTTTTACTCGCAATGCCCAACTACGTTCCTGCTGAGCACCAAGTTGAGAATACTCAGCAAGCAGTTGGCTCTGGTAATGATCCTTCGTTAGAAGAGATCATTGCCAGGTTTATTGCGAGCCTAGATATAAGCCTTTATGCCACAATGAAGCCAGCATTTAAAAGCTTCCTAGAGAGCTTCGCCAAATGGCTTAAAAATAAAGTCAATCGCGAACAGGGCATCAACTTTACAATCCCAGACATTGAGTTCACACGGCGCGGTGTCAGAGAGGCATTGATTACTTTAGGCAAAACAGACTCCTCTCGGGGCCTAAAGTTCTGCGAGGAACACACAGCAGCCGTCATGGTCTATTCTCTTGTGTGTGCAATCCAGGCAAAACAGATCGCCACCAATTCTTCGACACAACAATTTCGACTAATTGGACATACGAGGACTACCATACGTGGTTTGATTCTCTTAAGGTTAATAAAAACCACGTAGCTGGAGTAGTCGGAGATGGTTTGCCAGCCCAGGTTAAAGGACTCTGCCACTGGAGGCCAGAAGGAGCCCTTTTCCCTGGCTTACAAACCGTGTACATTTGTTGCCTTAACCACGTCTTGAACAGTGCTATTGTCCACGCACGTAAGCAATGTCCATTGTTGAATGAACTGATGAATAGAGTTCACCAGATTATCATTATCTTTAAGAATCACGATATGAGAGCGAGATACAAGATCAGGGTTCCATCAATCCCGGAAACTCGCTGGCTCTACATATATGATACTCTGTTTTTCATCTTTGATAATCTGGAAACAATTAATACTGCTTTAAGAAGTGGAGATCTTCCACTATCCCTTTCCAGAGCTACACGTGAACAGTTACAATGGACACGTGATGGAATTCCTCCACTCTTTAAAGATGCTTTAATGATATTCAAGCCATTAAAGCAACTTCAATTATGGCTGAAATCCAACAAGTCCATGGGTGCTTATGCATTCCTGATGATACAACAGTAGTTAGTTAGTATATGTTGCGTACTGTGGCACTGCGCGCCTCCGTACACCACTTAGCGGTTTTGACACTTTACGAAACCGGTAACGTATATTTTACAACACAACCATAACAACAACTTAACCTTAAATATTTACAAAACCATCTGACACATAAACGACTTCACTAACGACTTCACTAACGAATTCACTACCATCCTCACTAAATAAAAAATAACCTTATTTTTATTTTTTTTTAATTTTTTATTTCATTACAAAGACATGTCTGACTACATTTACTATGACTCTTTCCCAGAACGTTTCCGTGAACTATTCAAAACTCAAGTAAAACTGAGAAGCATGCATTTTAACAAAGACAGACCCATTGACGATGAAAGAAACCCTGAATATATTACAATCCCTTATGACGCAAAGTTCATTGCATACATTCCTTATGGTCGCAGAGGAACGAAAACTATTTCAACAAAGAACAAAAATTATTTCTGGAGCGATGAAGAAAATTGCCTTATCTACATAAATGCATACTTAAATAAAGCTACATATTGTACAAAAGAAGGTTGGACTGGATTTGAGCTCTACATATACGACGACGATGGAAACAGACGTTGTGTATACCCATACGATAATATGTACCATTGTTTTCATCAAGCATTAAACGAATACATAGTCAGTAAGGGTCTCATTCCTGTTGAGTAGATATGCTTTATTTTTGTTCTGTCATTTATATAAAAATAAACTTAAAAATTAATGATATCACCACTCCCACACGTATGAAAACATAGCACAAAAATAAATTTAGGTGAAGTGGTGAAATCTCACCTCTTTTTTCACCCGGTTTTTCACCCTGTTGAATTCATTGCTTTATAACTCTCTTCCTTTCTCCAACTCTTCTAACTTCTTCTTAAGTTCAGCAATGTTGTCCTCATGAAGTTTAATCTTCCTTAATATACCTTCTCTATCTAATGGTTGCTTTATCTTTCTAAACTGAACTCTACCATTCTTCATAGTATGAATGTAAAAACCTTCTGGAATATTTCCTGATTTAATGTATTCTACCAAAAACTTTTGTTTCATTGCTTCAGTGACTTTATTTGTCATTTCAATCAAATAAAAATTTTAATATTAAATAAAAATAACGTTATTTTTCAGTAAGGAAACGCAGGAGTTTTACGATTTATTTGAGGAGTAGGTTCTGGTTTAAATGTTGGAGTCGGTTTAGGAGTTGACTTTTGAACAGGAGTTGTACTTCCATAGGTTCAGGAGTCATTGAAGGTGTTGTTTGTGAAGGCGTTGGTTTTGGCGAAGGTGTTGGAGTTTGTTTAACTTCAGCTACTTCAGTATTATTTACAACATTTGCTTTATTTCTTTTCAACATAAACTGCTCCTGCTGTAGCTAGCAAACCTAGTGGGAGACCATATCTTATATAAGGACTTGACCAAATGCTATTTTTGACAGGAGCTGGTGGAACACCTAACCTTGGTGAGACTGCTCTTTGCCATTGTGCAGCTCGTAAGAAATATTCAATAGGTGCTCCATAATCGTTTGGTAAAGTTTGTTTCATAGATGGTGAAGGTTCACGAGAGCTTGATGAAGAACTCATTTATAAGCTTTAAAAATAAACGTTCATCCTTTATTCCTCACTGTCGTCCGTAGCTAAGTTATAGTCATCTAATCTTATTATGGGGATGCCATTAGCACGCACCTGAATGGCAAAGCAACAATCCCTCATAAATCCAATAAGTGGCTTTGGTACATTTTCAGTTGCTAGTTCAATAGGTCCTTTAACAGACAATTTGTATGTTATTGGAGCAGTAGATGTTTGACCTTGTTGGAAGCAAAAGTCCACTTCAGTTGGAAAACCACATAAGAAATGTGTGTTGTCATAGCTATCCCATTTATGTTCCACACTACCATCATCACCAATGACCTCATAACATCTTCATTAAATCCTATCATATCATTGTTTGTATTGCAGGCGTTCGCAACCATTTCATAAAATACAGGTCCATATGATTTTTCGGGTTCTGCAGGCATATTTCCATAAGCTCCCATGGAAAGCTGAAGATATTTAAACTTAGGGTTCTCAAAATTAACATAATAGTTTGTCTTTCTTTCTAAATAGTGCCCAAATACTTTTAACATTAATAGGCGTATAAGCTGCTTGTAAATGTTGCACTTGAACTATCTGTATTCTTTGAGAATGAACCGTCCATAGGAATCCAATCCATAACTTTAACAGGAAAACATAAAGCCTCGTTTGTATAATGTTCTACAAGTTCTGTATAAATGTTAGGGTCTAAAGAGAATGACTTTGGATGAATGAAACATTCATTAAAATCCATCTTTGTTCGAAATAGTTGCTGGGTTACAGTTGTAATAGTAACTGTTCCACTAGCTTCTACTGCCTTCGTTTCATAGTGAATGGTTCATTCCATGGAACAAATTTATTTGTCGGTGGATTTGAATCTGAAGCAAATGCAACTTTAAGAGTTGGATTGAAAGCAATGATATCATTTACAGATATAGATGTGCATTGTAAGGCGTCGCTACTGAACTTTACTTTAAGCTGAATGTTTCCTGCAAAAGCTGGAATAAATCTTATAGCTTCTAATGGTAAAAACTTTCTAACAGGAATTCTTAAACGAAGCTTAAAATCAAATGATTTTCCTGCTGTAATTGGACCACTAACAATTTGTCCTGTTCTGCATGTTCCCGAATGACTCCATACATCTTCATGTCGAGTCTTTGAGAAAACATCTACTTTCTTTATTTGTTCGGTAGTTTGTGAGTTTGAAGTTATATATGCTTCTTCTCTTGCGTTGTCTTGAGAATATACGATACGACCATTTGCAAGGATTTGATATCCAGCAACTGCATAGAAAGCGTCATCGAAACCAATCCAAAATCCTGGTGGGTTTGTTTTATTGGAACCTGAACCAATTTTTATCTACAATAAATTGACCTTCCATTTTATACGTAATGAATGTATTGTAAAGGTCCAACATATTTTCACCAGGAGGTGAGAGATTGAATGTTACCCATGTGTTATCTTTAGCAGTTCCAGGCTGTGATGGAATCTTTGCGTCAGAATATTTTCTATTAGTGTCACCAATTTGAACTGCATTGTCTATGATATCGAAATATGAGCGAATCTGATGAATATGCTCTGCTGGAGTAAATTCGTTTAACTGTTCGTTCTGCATGTATTTACTTCAGATAAAAATATCTATTTACTTCATTATTCTCACTCTTCTTCTTGGCATTCGTGGTGGAAGTTGTTTCTTGACATTTTCAATGAACTGTACATTCTCTTTTGTCTCAACTTCTTTCACTGGCGGGTCAGGATTCTTTGACTCGGTTTGTTTTTCAATGAAATTCACGAACTTTGCAATAAGCTCTTGGTTCGTTATTGAAAGTACATCTGGCTTCTTTTCTTCTGGTTCTATTGACTTTTCAGTTTGAATAGAAGGCTTAACATGGGCTTCGCCCTCGGTGCCATGCACCTTAATACTGTCGCTTTCTGCATTCGTTAATGGAACCTTTCTTTTTCTTACGTATATTTTACCATCTTTACTCTGACTTACGTAATAGAAAGGATGTTGTATTCCTCTTGCGTCATTTAATATAATAGACTCTCGCTCTGATTTTGACAAGCTCATTTTACATCGGTTAAAGTTTTAATTTTGTTTTTTATCTGCAGTCAAATGACTCAGACAATAGATGTTGAAGCATTGAAGAAAGAAATTTGTGAGCAAATTTTATCCGAACTGAAGGAACAAAAACAAGAACAAAAGCCAGAGAGACCAAAGAGAAAACTTAGTGAAAAACAACTTGCTACATTAGCTGCTGGAAGACAAAAGAACCCACGTTTGCTGTCGAAGAAAGCTAGAGAAGAAGCTGAAGCAAAAGCTAAAGAAGCTGAAGCAAAGAAAGAGTAAATGGTTTATTTTTATCCGAATTAAATGTATAGACAAATACCTTTATCTGTTGCGTTCAGTAGTGAAAACCCTGACGTCAAAATAAAGGGGAACAGAGTAACGTTTAAGTTTCCAACAGACTGGATTGTGAACATAAATGAAGAGAAGTACATTGGCATAACAAATATGTATATAACACGTGCTTTCAGAAAGGTTGACTTTATACTTCAAGTCGAGATAGAAAATGACGAACAGTCTTTAAGCGCCCAAAACATTCACATATACAAATACTTTAAAGACGATACAACATTGTTGCAATGTATGATTTCATTTAATGAGATGTTCGAGAAAAAGTTCAACATTGAAGTACAAACTTTACAGCCTTTACGTGAGTTTCTTGCACAACTGAAAGAAGAAGGTAGTCGGCCACAACTTATAGACTTTCATTATGAATTTAATGAAAATGAAGATGGAACTCATGACTGTCAGTTTGTTATATATTCACCATTCAATGAAGTAGCTAAAAAGAAAGAAAATCCATTACGTATAAGATTTCAAATCTCTGAACCAAGTGATGATTTCAAGAATGTTTTCAATTATGATGCAATGCTTCCGAGGAAAAATGAATTTTCAAAGATTGTAACACCTGGCATTTGGGATAGAAAGCAAGCTATATTATATTCAAACTTAAGTAAGGGAGTTGAAAATGAGTTCATTGGTCATACAAGAACTTCACCACTTCCTAACCCTAAATACTATAAATTAACTGGCTTCAATCGTGAGTTTTGGATAGACATGTTCTCCACTCATGACCATAACTGCCCAGTGTTCTTACCTCCAGACCATAAGGACTGTCTCTATATTGAAGCACAACTCTTAAACTCTACCATCGCAGTATTGTAAATGACCATATGGGCTTCGCCCTTGCCGCTAGCGGCTTATTTTTATCATGAATGGTCTCACTGCTGACAAAAATAAATGACCTCATGGGCTTCGCCCTTGCCGCTAAGCGGCTTATTTTTCTCATTCGTGACCTCAGAACTTAAGCTTTCTTATGAATGAAGTCTTAGTCTGAATAGAAAAGTTAAACTTCTCTTCAAATGCAGGTGTAGCAGACTTACATAAGTCGAATGCAATCTCTTGACCGTCATGAAGTGCTTTGTAAAGTTTCATTAAACTGAACTCAGAGTCTTTGTCATATGTTCCAACAGGTATGTGAATGTTCTTATCTTCATTGTAATAGCATTGTATAGCTTCAGGAAACATTTCATTTGCTGTTAAAGCAAGGACGTCTTGTTTGACACCTTTGCAACGTGCATGAAATGCAACTTCATTTAAATCATTCGTGAGTAAGTCTATGTAAGTCTTCTTTCCACAAAATATTGACTTGTATGCTAAACTTTGTTTTCCAGGTGTTATTTCTGCGAAGTCAGAATGAAATTGACCAAGGTTCTTTCCTATAAGTTCGCGACCGTATCTCTTCTTAAACTCTGCTGCAAGCTTTGGTATGTCTTCATTGAAAATATGCATGCTATCACAGTCCTGGTAAAATATTTGAAGTCCCATATCTTCAGCAGTACAGAATACTTCACACATTATTCTCTTCGACATAGACAGAATGTTAACACCAAGTGGACAGAAGTTAAAGTGTCTGCAAATGCTTTTCGTTAGCTTGAAAATAGTTTTATCTGAACCATCCAAACCTTCGAACTTCACTATATGGTTGTAGTTTCTGATGGCATATCTTAGAGCATCTTTGTCATTTACTATGGTTATTTTTGACTCAATAGGAGATAGAATAGTTTTGCCATAAATACTGTTCAGAATGAGCTTTATATTTTCTTGCAAAGGATTTCCTTCTTTCTTATACTTTAACCTTAACTCAAACAACTTCTTTACTTCATCTCTTATTCTAATATCTCTGTTTCCATCGTAATAGTATCCTTGCAACACTTCACATTTGACACCTTGATATTTTATGAGGTCTTGTAATGTTATATGGTCAACATACATTAAACGGCAAGTGTTTGAACTTCTGGGAACGTTAAGTTCTGGATTTAGTTCAGGGTCACAAACTATTAAAGGAAAGTGTCTATGTATTCCAATCTCTGTTATCTTAATGAGAACAAAGAAGCCAGACATAAACTTTTCACCAATGGGTTCCTTTTGGTCGTCATCGAATAAATGTCTCATGAGATACTCTGTGCTTAACATTTCTTTCTTCATAACCTTTGGAATACCTTCTAAAGTATAAAGTCTTGCTATAGCTGATGGATATAATGAAACAGCGTCGAAGTCAGCAATGAGTTTCTTTTCACTCTTTTGTTTCATGTTATCTGACAGCATACATCTTCCACCTTGAATACAGTGTGAAATAAATTCTCTTGGTTTATTTGAGAGGTCATATAAATTTCCATTCGGGAAGTATACTCTGTTCTCAAACAATTTGTTAGCAATTGAACAAATACTAACGTAGTCATAAACGTTTAAATCAAATTCTTTTAATATATCATTGCGGAACTTAACAAAACCTTCTCTTAAAATTCTTACATCTTGTTTGCAATAGAATGTACTATACTTTTCTAAGTCGAAGTGGTTTTCATCTATTCTGCAACCTTTGATGGAATCTATGTTTTTCATGAACGTATCCGCATCCTGGATAAACTTACACGCTTCAGAAATGACACCAGTTCTGTTGTCATTTGCTAATAAAGAGCTTGAATAATATTGATACGGAAATATTTCCTTTTCACCACACTGCAAATGAAACATTTCAGGAAATAGTTTAAGCTTCTTATTTATAACAGTGTATGAATCTTTAATAATGATTGCTTTACCTTTATATATTCCCGTTATTTGCATTGTTCGTGAACCTTTAATGATGGAAGTTCCTTTCACTTCTGTCATGTGTCTTAAGATGAAGTTTATATCATAACTGAGGTTATGGAAATATATTAAACTCTTGTCAGGAAGTCGCTCCAAAAATTCTGTTGCACAGTTCTGACCCCAAATGCTTTCACTCACTGAACCATCTTCACCGTCATAACAAATGTTAAAGGCTTTATGAACTCCATCAGTGCTACATTCAAAGTCAGCAAGAAAACGTGCTCAGGAATGAACTTACATTTAGCTTTATTTACTTCTTTTGACTCGGCTTTCTTCTTCAGTTGTACACAATACTTTGGAGCATATGTCAAATCTTTAAATGGTGCAAGGTTCTGTTTATATAAGTCAGTCGTATATGTGAAAAGTTCTCCATATGAAATAGGTTCAAAATATTTGCACCCCCACAATGTTTTCATAACATCCCATAACGGTGTTGTTCTATCATAACGAACTACATATTTGTTCTCTCTCTTTGTATAAATCTTCATCTGTTTCTCAATGTTCATTCCACCACACTCCTTCAAGATTTCTATATAGTTGCGAATGAAATATGTTGTCATTGGTAATCTTTCATTTAGCATGTAATGGTCTTCAACAAGAAGTAAGTCAATAGTTCGAACAGTTTCACATTCTTTTGGTATGTATCTCTTTATTTCATTATGTCTTGAGTCATTGAAGTAACCAATGGTAACATTAAATGCTATACCTGTTGCGTCAGAAATTCTTGTACTTTACTTTGAGGAAAGTCTCTAACACGAATGACTTCTCTCATGTGGTCAATAGTTTCTTCATTTACTCCAGCCTGAATGCAAGCATAAACGAACAGTTATCTTCTGTCATAAGTGTTGCAGTTCTTTTGTTCAGTTCATTGAAGATTTGGTAGCGTTCAAGATTTATAGGTAATGTGCAAAGATACTTCCAGAACTGACCGCTTCTCTTCTTATAAAACTTCTTTTCACCATTATCTTTCCAAAAGCTTTCTATAAGTGCTGGGTTTCCTGTTTGCTTAAGAGCTTCCAAAATGGCTTTCTGGTCATTTGTCAGTGTGCTTTCATCTCTATATGGTCTCTTTTTTTGGTTTGCCTTTCTTTACATCTGACATCGTTAAGCCTTCATATTCTGTTAAATCATACATCTTTATTTCAGTAAGATTCTTTATGTTTGTCAAGAAGAAGTCATAGTGCATTTCAACAATACCTGCAGCATTTGCTTCTATCTCTGATATAAAGTTCTCCTTCAAGAGCTGATGTAGTAATGTTCCAATATTATTGAGGTTTAACGTAGAACATTCATACTTTCCACCAAGTTTATAACATACCATCCATCTCTGTTGTGAGTTTATTTTAATTTTCTCTAAGAGTCTCATGAAAACCTTACCGAAATGTTTGTGTAAGTAGTCTCTGTTTGGTTCATCTAAAGCTTCGATGTTAAAGTCAATGAGTCTATTGCCTGTCTTAACATTCCTCTTCCTATTCTCTTCATCTTTCTTTAACCATCTCTCACCTTCTTTTGGTTTGTCGTCAATGGAACGAATGACATCGTTAGCTTTGCGAACTTGTTCTATAGCACTTTTAAACATCTCTCTTCTCTGTTGTTTCAGTGTGTCGTCTCTGCTTCTTGTTTCACCAACGTTTGCATTTGTTATGTCAAACATTTCATGACGAACATCATGCGAAAGAGCTTTACGAGTATGACCAACGTTTGCATTTGTTATGTCAAACACTTCTTGACGAACATCATGCGAAAGAGCTTTACGAGTATGACCAACGTTCGCATTTGTTATGTCAAACATTTCTCTTCTTACTTCATGAGGTACTGAACGTCTATGATATAAGTCAATAACAATGTCATTTAAAGGAAATGCTCTTGCATGGACTTCGTCCTCGCCGCGTTGCGGCTTTATGAACTCATGAATTCTATCATAAGTTATTTCACCATTGTAGTCTTTAATGAAGTCAGCGAGTGCTTTTTTGTTTGTTGCGTAATGCTTTGCAACATCTATGTTAGCTTCTGTAAGAAGTTGTTTTATTTCCGAGTGTTCTAACTTAGACAACTTCCGATACATCTTTAGTAGGAAATAAAAAAATATTTTTTGAAAAAATTAGATTAGATTTTTTTTAAGTTATTTTTCAAAATAATTTAATATTTTTATTTTAATGAAACACATGCAAGATTGCAAGTTCTTTTCATACAATGCTCTCGCTACTGCCATCAAGAATGAGTTCAATAATGCTTCAAATGTTAATGTTATCTTTAACAAGAAGTTTGTGAAAGAATCTAAGTTTGGTCAGTATGTCAGACATTAGCTATCGTCATTGACCGCAACGTTATACTTCACAAGAGTTAGCAGTAGTTTTGAAACAAAAGAGTTTCTTCGTGAATGTCAAAGATACTCATTATACTGTCATAAAGAACTCTAACATTGACTTCTTCAGTATTGCTTTAAATCTTTCCGAACAGAAAGAATATAAGAAAGGTGAAACAAATGTGAAATATTATCCTTCATCTCTGAAGACAATAACGAACAAAGATGTTATACAGAAATTCTTACCAAAGGTTGAAGAAGCTTCTATTGACATTGACGAAGGAAGTGAAATGGTTGAAGAAATTGACTCTGAAGCTTTATAAGAAAATTTATTTTTGAATAACTGATGGTGACACTGAAAACATTCGTGAAAAAATTAATGAAATCATTAACGTAAACATTAACGATAAAATTTATTTCCAGGACTGTTGTCTAAATGTCATGTTGTCATCATTTTTCAGTTGCGATGGAATATATCTAACCCTCCCGTTAACTAATAAACTTGACGATCAGACAATTCTCCCTTCGTCAATTATGTTCGACACGGAGCATTTATGGAAACAATTAAATGGTAAAAACAAAATAATGACGATCAGACAATTCTCCCTTCGTCAATTATGTTCGACACGGAGCATTTATGGAAACAATTAAATGGTAAAAACAAAATAATGACGAAGGGTTTTGTTTTTTATCGTGGTTTTCTCCACTATGGTCCTAACGTGGCACCCGACGAGATTTTTTTTCATTCTTCCTCTTTGAAGTTGTCGAAATATTCTGTTATTTTTTCCTTCAGTAATGTTAAGTCTTCTTTGAATGTAAGTATTGTACAACCTTTGATGTCATAGTGTGTTTGAGGAAGAGTATTTTTGACAATTTCCTTTATTTGTTCATTCGGTGTCATTGAAATCGGTAAGTTTTCACGATAGAACCAGTTTCTGTCAGATTTATATATCTTAGCTAAGTCATAAAAGCTCTTGTTGTTTCTTCTGACTAAATGTAACATAACCATATCTTTATCTTCTTCTTTCTCCAACTCTTCAGTATATATCATATACTTATAACTCTTTTCCTTTCCTTTTGGTACTGAACGCGGTATTCTTTTCTGTATGCTTTTGTCTTTGGATTCAATGACTTCATCTTTTGCTTGAAGTTTCTTTTCCATCTCTCCACGTTCTGCTTTATATAGTTCATCTAACATCATGAAAATATAACAAGCATAACGAGGTGAAGTCCACATTGCTACGGCGTTTACTAAAAGTCTATGAACATAATAACCTTTCAAACCAGGAGCCAAATTCTTGCGATTTTCATACGGAATCTCTTCCCTCGGTTTTCCGAGGGAAGCAATCATATGAGGAAATTCTTCTAAAAGTTCTTTTGTCTGTTGGTTTTCAAACCAATGATATGCTTGCTTTGTAGAACGAAGAGCATTCATTATACTTTGCATTTGGTACATATCGTCTTTGACTGAACGAATGAGACGTAACTGTTTGTTATACTGTATGTACTCGTATTCTTCATTTATAGCTTCATGGACTATAACTGTTGTTGTGTTCTCTGATGTTGACATTACTGTCTTTACATACAAAATAAAAAAATAAATAAAAATAAAACTAACTTTATTTTTTCTATCTTAAGGAAATTCATGAAAATTCACGAGGGTGAAAAAACAGGTGAAAAAAGAGGTGAAATCTCACCTCTTCACCTAAAAATTATTTTTGCTGAAAAATGACCAAATTTCATGAATTTTCTTATTCTTTCTGGCATATTTTTGTCTTTCCAGTACTCCCGCTCTAATGGTCCCAGATGTGTTGGCTTTGACTCTCTCAAGTTCTTAGATGGTATAACATCTTCAACGCCTCCTTCATATCTTACTTTATAAGTGTCATTGTTTATGTTATAGCCAAGTATTTCAATAACCACTCCTCGCTTTGCTTCGTCAATGGTTTCAGCAAGTTTGCCATTACTACTTTCAACTAATTTATGACGAGGATAAAACACAATGGAGTCGTCAGCAGCTTTTATAAGATATCCATTACCTTGCGTAGATTCTACGATATAATAGTTTCTACTTAACCTTAAACGTTTCTTTGTCAACGGTTTGTCGTCAAGAACTACACGAACTTTTGTACCAGGAATGAGGGTAAATTGTGTTGAATTTCTGATATTTTGTGTTTGACTTCGTTTCTTTTGTATATACTTTTCTTCTTGTTGTTGTGTCATTGAATTTGGTGTATGTCCTGTTGTAGAGTGTGTTGAGGAATTATATACTTCGAGAAAATGTTTCATTGTTTCTTCGGTAAAGTCTCGCTCTTGGTTTAAATCTCTGAGCGTTCTTATGAAGCGGTTTATGATGCCGAGTATGTTATGGTTATGGTCTTCAGTAGTGTAGTGAGTTATGTTATGCTTAATGAGAAAATCTGTGATTTCATTGCTGAGGTATGCACCGTCTTGGTCTGAAGTTAATGAAGTGGGATGATGTTCTGCTACAAACTTTTGTAAAACTCTTAACACTTCATGAGTTCCTTTATTCCTCATTGGATATGCATATGCTTTGCGAGTGTTAACATTAATGAAGATGAGGAATGGTTTATGTCCTCCTTTTCTGCTTTGAATGAGAGTGTCAAATTGGTATGCGTCAGGAGCGTTGGAGTAAATTGGTAAAAAGTAGTCGTAATGGTTTATTTTTGTTTGATGTACAACATTTTTGTCAAAGAACCTTTTCACTTCAGCTCTGTTAGTAAATCCCCAACTCTTTGCAGCTTCATTGAACTTCTTAAATGACCTCCATGGATGTTGTTCGAATACTTCTTTCAAGCTCATTTATGTAAAGTTAAAGATTTTATTCAAGACGGTAAGCCTTGACCCAAAGGGTCTAGGCTCAAGCGCGTTCATTGAACGCGGTACCATGCATAAACCGTCATAAATGGTGGCATATAATCTTCACCCGAGCCTGTTGGATTTGTTGTGAAAGTGTGTGAATGATTTCCTCCTGGTTCAGTTGGTCGAAAAGTCTTTTTTGCTGAATTGTTATAAGATGGAGATAAAACGTCATTGCCAGCTTTATAGTCTGAGTTGTATAATGGGTGGTCTCTTAATGAGTGGCTATGGTCGCCAGAAAAGTTTGTCGTTCCTGTATGAGTGTGCGCAGGTAAGTTTGCTTCTTTAATTTTCTTTGAGCCTCCTGTTTGCTTTGAAGAGTTAGCACAGTATAAGAATTTGTCTACAATCTGCTGCCACGTACCAAAACCTAAAACACTTGCCGGATTTGTTGAGTTCATTGACGTATAAATAGAGCCTATAGGATATATGGTTTCAAGAATCTGAGTCTTCATTGTTTGAAGTTCTGTTTTGTCGGCTTTCTTATCTAACATTGCTGGTAGTTCGTATGCTTCAAAGTTTCTGGCATGACCTTCAATGTTCATACATCTGTTATCTAAATTGTTTAGTGTATCTTTTACGCTTGTACTCGGATTCTCTAAAGGTGCACTTGAACCCAAATCATAGTTCAGTATTATGTCGTCTGCTCTAACAGTAGTGAAGGATTCATGTGTATGGTTCTTGTCAGCTTTACTATTTAATGTAGCTTGAAGTTCATTTATATCAGAGATGTTGTGTTTATGAGATTTCAAAACTTTGTTCATTGCTTCAAGTTCATCTTTGCTGGCTTTACTTTTAATAGCATCTTCAAACGTTATTTTTGACTTAACTCTCAACGTAAATTTTGGTTCAACTAATACACCGTTAACATTGAAAGTAGAGGCATAAATTTCACCGGTATAACCAAATGCTTCTGGTGCTTTCGCTACATCATACTGTACAGTACAACTTATGTCATAACCTTTAGCACGAATGTATTTATATCTTCTTTCATTAACATTTTTTGTCTTCACTTTTTCATCCTGTGTTAAATATCCATGGTAGTCCGTTATAATCTGTTCATCTGAACTTATATAATGAACATGGTTTTTATCTGCTTTTTCGGCTAATTTCTCTTCTATCTCATTTATTTCAAGTTCATGCCTACCACCACCTCCCGAAGAAGTATTTTTCTTCAGCTCTTGAAGAACGTCCACTTCGCCATCTTTGGTGTCAATAATGAGACTTTGAGTTAAAACCTTTCCTGTCTTAATGGATGTTTGTAAAACTTCTTCTTCACCGTGTTCGGGGTCATGGTCGTCATCATATCTTGTGAAATCAGAGATGTTGTTATACATTAAGCATATCTGTCTCAAAAGTTCTGCTATTTGAAACTGGAACGAAAGATATACAGAACTTTCATCATCTCCTAAAGTCAAGTCTGCTTTCTTAAGTATTTCTTGAATGTATGCAATGAGAACAGAGTACCTTGGAAAATATTCGAACAATATTTCATTAGCTGTTGGTTTTGGTGGTTCTTCTGGAGTTTCTGTTGTTTCAGTTCCTTCTGTAGGTTCTGGTGGAGTTTCTGCATCTCTTGACTTCAATGCTCTTGCTCTCAAAGACCTAAATGTTAGAGCACCAGGTTTTACAAAGGACTTTATAAATGCTTTAATAGTTCCTGGTAAGTTATTGTTAGCATTAAGTAAGTTCCATATGCTTCCATCATGTACGTCCATAGCACTATGTAAAAAATCTATACTTTTCTTGTAGTCAGCAATAGACTGACTGTGATTTTTTAAAGATTTGTCAATACCTTTAAGCCAATCTTCATGCATGTCTGATACTGAGCCAAGAATATCATTTGCTTCCTTTAGTGTATTTTGTGCTTCTCGTAAAGTATCCAATCCCGTACGTGCATTGTTAGCTATACGTCTTACAGTATCTATTTGACTCCTTGTTTCTTGCATCCAACCAGATAAAGTTTTAATAGTATCCGAACCATTTGAAATGAAGTTCAAAGCATTTTTAACGTCATCTAAAGTTTCTTCACCAAGTACCGCCCATATCTTTCCGATTTGGTATTGAAGAACTCCATATGAAGCAGCTGTTAAACCAGTATTTATAAGGTTCCATATCCATGATTTAGCAGTTTTTCCATCCTTTCCATCTTCACCATTCAAACCGTTTTCGCCTTGAGGTCCTTGTATTCCTTGTATTCCTTGTGGTCCTTGAGGTCCTTGTGGTCCTTGTAGTCCAGTGTCACCCTTCTCTCCTTTCAGTTCATCTTTATGTTCGTTATAATATTCTAATGTCATAAGGTGTACATCATTACTGCTACCAGCAACGCCGAGAATTTGTTTCTCATTCATGACTAAATTCTTTAGGCATTTAATGTTGTCGTCAAATCGAAAGCTCTTTAACAATTCAATGAGAACATTTAATACTTTCACTAATGAGGCATCTACTGTAGAATTTATATATTGCACCGTTCCATCATTTATGATGGGAACCTTGCTTGTTGTAATGAATGGGTCATAAGTGTTAAAAGTATCGAAATCAATGACTTTTTTAGTTTTTCCATCGTCAATGACTAAATCATTGCCTTCAATGGTTAAAGTTGAGTTTTCGTTTACTAGTTCATGTGCTCTTCTTGCTTCATTTGTTTCATACGCATATGCAGCAATAGTCATATTTTAATGAGAATAAAATGTTGTTCTATTTGCAAAGTACAGACCCAAACGAATACGGGACAGTAAAGCTACAAACAAACTTAGGCCTTCAGAATGAAGCGCTTGCTTTCAGAGTTGTTGACTTCAATACTATCGCAACTTTTGTCATAACAGATGAAACAGATTTCATAGAGATTGAAATAGATGACAAAAGAAGTGTTATAACATTTCCTAACAGAGCTGGGTATAAAATAGATAAAATTGCTGGAGTCATAAATACTCTCATAAATGAAGAAACTATTGACAACATAGATGTCGAACTCTCTTCTGAGGGAACATTGAAGTTCAGCAGCGAGAAAGAGTTTAAGATACCAAGAATGAGTCATAGAGTACAATTGCTTCTGGGTGCATACCATATGACATTTCCTTTGAAAAGTGTTGACAAAACGATTGAGATGAAATCTGTTCCATACGTATGTTATGGCAATTGTTTGTACATTGAGTCAAAAATAGCTAATGTCACAGGTATTTCAGGAGTTAATAGTAAAGGTTCAGTAGAATATAAGTCTTTCTGTTATGCAGTCAATTCAATGTTCATTCCAAACGTTCCTGTCATAGCAACTCATTTAGGTAAATGGGTTCGCATTAGTCCTCAGAATTTGAAAGACATGCAATTCAGACTTGTTGACTTTCAAGGAGAGCCTGTAGAACTGAAGGCACCAGTGCGAATGACTGTTGAAGTTGACTTTTTAGAAAATATTAAATGCAACAGCTTACAAGAGAACTCAGAGCTAAAAATATAAAGTATGAATGTTATGTATTAGGTCATGAACTTTGGTTGTTGCTGTTTGATGAAACAAATGAGTTAGTTATGTCAGTCAAGAGAACAGAAAAATATTGTGTTAGTGAAAACTGCACCAAGTCAATAAGATTAGGTTTGCATTATGAAGATGAGTTCGATACTGTTGAAGAAGTTTTGGATAGATATTACAAATTGCTAACTTGAAATTTTTTGACTGACGGCGCAAAGCGCCAAGACCGAGGTCCTGACTGCTTTAATTTACTAAAACATATTTCAAACAAAGTTTATATTCTGTTGAAAGTTTTGTATATTCATTCGAATATTTATACTTAAACTCAACTCCTGTAGTTCCTGGTGTTTCAATGATGCGGATGTTACCTATTTTCATGAATAGTGGAGTTTGACCACAGCATTCGATTTCAGGGTCGAGATAGTCAATGACACATTGTTTCCCTGTTATTCGTGATATAACATTTTCAATCCTCCTTTGTTAGAATTATTTGGTTCTTGCTTATAAGATTTGTCAAAAGCTTCTTATCGTCTTTGAGTAAAATTGTTTGGTATAACTGAAGAAGGTAATGGTCTACGTTATCTGAAGGATTTGTTTGAACATTTGTGTAAGGGTTGTCGTTGGCTTCTCTTGAAAGAATTTGGTCCAGTGGTGGATACTCTAACTTAACATCTGATGTAGCGTTAGCGTTTGAAGCTGTGTTTAAATTCACGGCGCCATGCTCCAAGACCGAAGGTCCCGACTTAAGTTCTGGTTCTTTTTCTTTCAAACACTCTGAACTATAGTTCTTTATGACAATATTGTTTGTCGTTCGTGAGTCAACATTTGATGTTGGTTCAATTGGAACATTAACGGCACCAGCTAAGATGGATTTGCTTCTCATTTCATATAGAATAAAAACCTTTTATATGTATGAAATGAACAATATACTCGACAAGGGTTTGAATGTAAAGCTAACGAATGAAAATATTGTTGAATTCACTGAGACAGGTGCTGTGTATAAAGATGTAGAACTACTGAACAAAAGAGCTAAGGGAAGAAGCAGGAACATGAACAAAGGGTGGAAGCCTATAAAAATTTATGTCAATGATGGCTCAGGAGGTTCAAACATAAAGTATGCAGAAAGTTATAGAGTTTATGCTCTCAAAGGTGAAAAGCCTTCATTTAAGAACAGCTATTCTAACGCATATCCTCAAAAGCTAACGGATGGGGAAGTGGATGATATGAATGACAGCAAAAATATTAACAGAAATGGCGACAGAGATGCATGGAATTTGTTTACCATCAGTCAATTGAAGGTTAAACTTTAAAACAATGTTGGTCGTTCCCATGGAATATTTTTGACTTTAATGGTATTAGTCATGATATGAATCTCAAGGTATGAACGAGGAGAGATGAGAGACTTATATGCTTCCCAAATTTCTTCAAAAGGTAATGTTATACCTGACTGTTTCCAAATGAGTTCAATATCATAACGTGAGAAACCTTGAAAGATAACGAAGTCAGTTATGAGACGTTTTATGTTTAAAGCTAAAAACCTCCATGTTTGCATAAGTATTGCTACAGTTAAGTGGTAATGTCTGACTTTAGTAATGATGTTAGCTAATGGTGAGTCTGGTTTTGACACTAAACCTTTTCCGGCGAATCGTCACAAACGAAAGTGTTTGAAGGATATTTTTTGAAGGGGTATTTTGAAAGTTTTGACAGAATGTAGTTTGTAAGTCGTTTCATATCGTAAACTCCTGAGTATTGACGTAAGTGGTGTTTGTCAATAATTCTTTCCATCTCCTCAGAAGTCTTTTGCATTCCTGACTGTATAAATTCAACGATGGCATAATATTTCCTCTTACGTCGAATGTAACGTTGAAGAAATTCAATGAGTTCACTGTCTGGAACTTTAACGACAGAGGCTTGAACTTTTGACATAAATGTTTTCGC